GAGGGAGGAAGGAAGGAAGGGGAAGAAAGAAAGAAAGAAAGAAAGAAAGAAAGAAAGAAAGAAAGAAAGAAAGAAAGGAAGGAAGGAAGGAAGGAAGGAAGAAAGAAAGAAGGAAAGAAGGAGAAAGAAATAAAGAAAGAGAGGGGGGAGTCAGGGAGGGAGGGAGGGAGGAAGGAAGGAAGGGGAAGAAAGAAAGAAAGAAAGAAAGAAAGAAAGGAAGAAAGAAAGAGAAAGAGAAAGAAAAAGAAAAACAAGGAGCCAGCAGGATGGTTAAGGTAGCTTAATTCCACAGGGCCAACTGTATAGTTCGAATCTAAGACCTAGTTGCTTGAAAAAAAAAAAAAAAAAAAAAAGACAGGCATGTGTGCGTGTGTGCCCAAAATCCCAAAAGGAGGAGAAATGGAGGAGAAGGGTTTGTAGCATGACCATTCCCTGTGGGGGGGAAGGGGCAAGTGCTCTCTCATTCTTTCTTTCTCTCTGGTGAGCGCACACACCATTGGAAATTTTAAAAATAAAAATAATAAGGGGAAAAATGTGTAAATGATTATTATACGACAATGGCAATAAAATCTATCAGGTTGAATTTTAAAATTTTGGTCCATAATGACAGGTGAGAAAGACCTTTTTCACAGAAGAACGCCTGCTAAGAACAGAAGGAATGACAGAATTATGAATCACCATTTTGCAGTCTGTGTTAACATAGATCGTTAGTAGAGGCTAAACCATTGGGTAAAAATACTGCTAGAAGAAAATAACTGAAGGCCTCAGGATCTCTCCACAGCTCACTTTTTATTGTAAAGTAGAGTAGATTTCAACTCAACCAAGTGGTCAAGCCTAGCATCACCAGTACAGGGACAAATGGGCATTATGGGCCCGCTTGTGTGATACACTGGGAAGTCCACAACAGCCCCAACAGCATGGACTTGTCAAAAAGACTACCTGGGGACCAGCAGATGGTGTAATTGTTATGTTGCTGGACTTCCACATAGTTGACCACAGTTCAATTCCCAGACTAGGTGGCTTAAAACTCATGCCAGGTGCATGTGCATGTGTGCCCAAAATCCTGAGAAGAGAATAGAGGAGAACAGATTGGGGCACAGCCCTCCCCAGAATGTGTGTGTGTGTGTGATTTTTTCTTTCCATCTCTCTGTATCTCAGGTGAGTGCATGCGCCCTATAACAAAAATCCTTCTAAAAAAAAAAAAAAAAAAAAAAGGCTTTACCTAACATCACACTGCATCCCATAAATGTTTGTGATTATTGCCTGAAAATTTAAAAAACATAATGTGGGCCAATAGATTGTATGGACTTTAAGTCTGCTGGATCCCACATAGCCAACTACATGGTTCAAGTCCCGGACGACCTGACGACTTGAAAAACATGCCAGGCGCACACGTGCATGCTCCGCGGTCGACTACATGGGAGTCCAGCAACATAGCCATTACGCCAACTGCTCGTCCTAATAAACCTCTATTTTTATAAATTACCCAGTTTCAGATATTTTCTGTTGTTAGTAGCAGAATAAACCAGAATGGACCATTCCCTCTTCAGAAATGCCTGCTGAGGCATTTAGAGCTGAAGTGTTATGATACACGCACCTCATATCAAATAGGGAAGGCAGGGAGGGAGGAAAGTGATAGAGAAAATGTGACAAAATGTTGAAAAGTGATGACTCTATTGATAGGTGGAGAGTATACGGGTTTCCACTCTACTTTCTTTGTGCTTTTTGTAGGTTTGAAATTTTTCCTAAAAGAAATGGAAGAAAAGAAATCCTACATAACAAAAATGGAAAAAATTATCAAACAATTTTAAGGGAAAAAAAGACATAAAATTGTATATCTTAATTATGGCTATAAAAAACTAAGAATAAGAAATTATCGGGACCAACAGATGGTGTAATGGTCATGTCACTGGACAGTTCGAGTCCTGGACCCAGCAGCTTAAAACACTCCAGGTGCATGTGTGCGCGTGCCCAAAATCCTGAGAGGAGAATGGAGAAGAAGGCATTGCAGCGTGGCCATCCCCCCCAGGGGACAATTTCTCGCTTTCTATTTCTCTGTCTCTCTGGCAAGTGAGCAAAAATCTCCTAAAAAAAATACAAATTATCTTTTTGTTTCAACATTTGTTAAGCCAGTGCCACATGACAGGCTATGCTGCAGGTGATGAGAACACCCCTACTTCCCCACAGAATTCTGATGCTATGGTGAAATGCAAGAACTTGGGTATAGAAAGCTCTACTCAGTTCTCAGGGAGGCCTTGCTCTAGTGGTTGCACCTTTGTGTCCTTGGTTCCTGTCCATTTCTCTGCCCCAGTTGAGGTGCTCAACATTCCCTGCTTCCAGAAGCTCATACTCCGGTGGCAGATGAAAGCACACTAAGAAATCATTTAAAACAAGAGTAAGTGCACGGTACACGCAAAGTATTAGTTTTTGTTTTTGTTTTTTAAATTGCCAGAGGCTGTGTGCACTACCAAAGAGAGAGAGAGAGAGAGAGAGAAAGCACCCTTCAATGGGATGTGGTCATAGCACAATCGCTTCTCTTCCATTTCTCTGTCTTGTTGGGATTCTGGATACACATGTACATGCCTTGTAGTTTTCAAGCCACCAGCGCTGGATTTGAACCCAGTCAGTCATGAGCACCACTAGGAACACAAGGACCAGTCTTAGAATTTTAAATTACCATGCAAGCCCTACCTCCGCATCTAACTTTCTCTCTACCCTCCCCTACCATAAATTCTCTCTCCTTTATGGCGTGCTGGCTCCCACCTCTGTGCCTTCGCTTGGCTCCTGCTGACCTCCTGGCTTACAATGACAGGTGACCCCTTTGCTTCATCCATCCAAATCCTACTCAGCCCAGGTCTACCTCCTGCATGAAGCCTGCACACTTGATTGATTCTGTTCCTCTGAGCTGTCAACTCCATGCTTCTTAAACCTGTGGCCTCATGTGACACCTTCCATTGTAAGCATTTTAGAGTGCCAAAGCTTCCTCTCCGAATCACTTCCTTTAATCCTCACACAGTGGGCACCGTGTTGTTTTCAAAGATAAGGAAAGCAAAGCCCATGGCATTGAGTACCTTGCCCAAATATCTGACACGAGCCCACAACAGCTGGGCAATTGGTCGGTGACCATTCCATGTTTTCAGTGGTGGTTGTGGAGAACCTGTCATGTCCACGTGGTTACTGCGTAACTGAACTATCCTTCTGGTACTTATGGCCTGTGCATCCAGCTGTGCGTCATCGGTCTGTTTTCTAAACTTCATTTTTAAAACGTACACGTCGTTTACTAGATCTCATAAAGGCAGGCGCAGCACCAGTTCCCTCAGTACTGCCCACAGCAGCGCTACTCAGAGGGCCATCTGGGCCAGCAGCATCCGTATCACCCGGAGACTCTTAGAGCTGGAGGGTCCAGAACCCATCCCAGCTAGACCTCCAGATTAAGAACCTGCATTTTAACAAGATCCCCAGGAGATTCGGGTTCACGTTAAAGCGTGAGACGCACTGTCCTGTGTGTAACACTCGAATTTGCACAAGGCAGGATATTCAACAAATACATTGAATCCTAGGAGATTCACAGTTTTGCCTTCACATTTTCTCTCCTCTTCTAGCTTTGAAATCTCTTCCCTTTGAGATCTCAGGGGACTTTTTGCTCCCTCCAGAGGCAAGCAGGAGCCTAGTGAAGGGGGAAGGCAGTGAGGACGCTTCCTAGGCGGGCGATGGTGAGGTGAGGCAGCTACCTTTCTCGCAGAACCAAAGTGGATGTTGGTGTTGGCTTCAGGGTTACATTTCTAGTGAAGAATTGGCTTTATTTCCAAGACAAAAATGCCTAGTACTTGAGCATCCGAGCCTCTGGAGGATAAGGGGTTTGTGATAGACAACGTTGGAACTGTTTCTAGACTTGATTTATTGGCTTGTCTGTTTCCATTCTGTCACTAATCTGATTGACAATGAAACCCGGGATGTGGCTTGAAGGGATTTCTGCGTGCGTGCGTGCGTCCATCAGGGCCGGGCGGGTCTGCTCGGAGCAGGTGCCCGTGGGTGGGGGTGTTTGCGTGTGTGGAAATGACACGGGAGAAGTGGGTGTCTCCAGGGAGTTGATAGTAGATGACGTGCGTTTGTTTGCCTGGACTGGGAAGCAGAGTAGGTGCAGGTATGAGCAGGAGGATGGGAGGAGAAAGACTCTCGAGGTAACGCGGGGTGGGGTGGGAGGGCTGTTGCAGACGCGTTTACAGAACAGCCTCTTCTCTCGCCCTCCCTAGTTGTTCCTCCTTGTTTCCCGGTTGTGAAGCCTTGGGGGAAGGGAGAAGAGTGGCGGAAGGCGCCGAGGGGCCAGGAAGGAACCCAGGAGTCCGGGGGCTCGCCTCTCCGCGTCTCGCACGAGTTGGGAGCTGGGGAAAGGGTACAGATGGAAATGGATACGCGCCCAATAGGGGCTCGCGTGGAGACACGTGGAGCGTTCGCCGTCAGTCTAGGAGTTGCACCCGCCACCCCCCAGATCCCCCACTTCACTTCCCGCGCGTCCACGCGGGCTGGAATCATGCTCTCCCTTTTCCCCTGGCTTGGTAGGGGAGGTCGACCCCGTTAGGGAGCGGAGCCCCGCCCCT